CATTCAAAATGAAATGCCCACATTTACAAATAGCATGTTTCTTTTAGTGGTGAATAATAAAAGGAAAGCAATTAACACAAAGATATTTTGTGATATTCCGATTAGATTTCTTCAATGTATTAGAATTACAGAAGCAACAGAAATAAAGGATGTTCCTAGTTGAAAAAATAACTGTTGGAATTGTTAAGTGCATGGAATTGTTTCTGACTCGTAGTGTAAAGGGTTTTCAAGGAGCTGCCGGTGGGTTTGAACCACCAGCCTTGCTATAAGCATCCAGTGGTTATCTTATCATACTACACCAGGACTACATCCATGAAATCAGAGCACTAAAAATTTGTAAGTGATCCTGATTTATAATTTTTAGACTCTACCTGGATTCTTCATGTTACCCATAACATAAATACTATTCATATGATGATTTTTCTATGGCCATTCTTTAATAGCTTCAGAAGGCCAAATTAATTCTTAAACAAACACAAGAACAAAGATAAGGCAATGGGACCAGAGACATTTTTTGTATTTTTGTCTTGAATATATCCATGAGGCAGCAGTATAGATGCAGAATTTATGTATTTATCATTTGCTTTTTCCAAGTGTTTTTATCAATACTTCCTTTGGTGTGGAAAAGGAAAAAAAAAAAAATATATATATATATATATACAGCAAGTGTTTTATTTAATGCAACTTTACATCCTTATCCATAGGGATTTAATATACACACAGTGCTATTGTTCATGATAACTATAAGAAAGCAAGGAGGACCATTAAGTTAGTAGTGTTCTTTTAAAACATCATTCTTCCCCTATGGTGGCCTGATTACTTCAGTGTTAAGAGCCTGTGCTTTCTTTAAAAGGAGTTGAGGGGGCAGTTTCCATGGAAACTCAGTCAGTCTCTTCTGCCATTTCAAAACCCAAGCTGTGCAACACATGCTACTGTCTGATTTTATCCACAGGGGATTTTGATTATCCCACTTGGGCCTCCCTTTATAGAAAAGATGTGCTCTTAGATGGGTAGATGCAAATCGAATTTTTGTAAATCGATTTTACCCTGGTCACATTATCAAGGATCCTGGAGCTTACTCCATTAGAAAAGCAAAGACTCCTTTTGTTAGATGAATAATCACTTCCTCATTCATCAAATTCGGGGAAAAAAATGTATTTTTGAATGTTGAGATTTCTTAAAGCTAGGAAATTTGTATGTAAATCTAAAAGTTTGAAAATGCCTCAAAAATCTTAAATGGTAACATAAAAATGAATACCTAGAGATGTTTGAAAAAAAAATATTTGAAAAATATTTCTGGGCTGTCTATGTGGTCCAGAAGCTCCACCTCAAGATAAGAAAATTGAATTGCTACTTCCCTGAAAACCTCAGTTAATTTTTTCAGGGAGAAGCTAACAACAAAATGCAGTAGGTACTTCTAAACATATATTCAGAACTTCCCACCTACCAATAAGCAATAAGAATGGTTACTAAAGCTCTGAACTATTTTGTTTAAGCTTCAAACTGTAACACCAAAATGAGGGGAAGAGAGAGGGAAGTAGCAGCTATTAGGAGACAAATCCAGAGCAAGCACTTAATGTATCTTTTAAAAGTTCCGTTCTTCATGACATAAATGTGACAAGAAGTTTCAGGCCCAGTTGAGGAATGTAATGTTTGGCAACCTTAAACAACTTCCCCAAATGCACAATCCTTAACAAGTGGCAGATTCAGGGTTCAAACCTAATCCTCCTAAATTGAAACCTTAAAATATTCTAAAACATACCTTTAAGATTAAAAAACAAAAATCCTTTTTCTACTCTTTCCCGTAATATTCTTTTCTTTCCTGATATTATGAAAGTTCTGGAAATATAAGTATATATATATATATATGAGGGGGCTTCTAAAGGTTCATGGAAAAATTCCAGTCTTTTTATTTCATTTTTCTACAATTTTTTTAAGCCCCCTTCTATATATTTAATGGTGGTAAAGGACATTTTAAATGCCTCTGGTAACAAAAAGAAAAATGATACATTTGGAAATGGTACATAAAAAGTAACTCTGAGGATCCTTCTCTTGTTTGTCTTTTCTTTTCTTAAATAGGTAATAAAACCTTGTTTTCTTTTTTATCATTTTGATTCTAACTTGTTGTTGTTGTGAAGTGCCGTCGAGTCG